GAATTGACTGCGGCAAAAGCCTTACAAGGAATCCTAGCTATAGCGATTACAACCTTATTTTCTTGATGGGCGCCAGCCGTACCAGTTGGGCGACTACAAGCCTTATTTTCTCGGTTTTACGAGATCAAGCACGTACATTGAATGCTTCCTCCGGTTGGGCTAGCCACAATGGGTAGTAACATAGACTAGTAACATGCCCATGGTACTAGTCTATGTTACTATCTTTATAGTGAGGAGTAACATATGTGTGGTAACATTAAACACTTTATTTATTAGGCTATAGACACATCTTGCATTGATATGTGTGATGTTACTCATACATAGTAACTAGCTATGTTATCACTTTCATCTCTTTCTTCATTTATTGCATGCCACATCATCTATTTAACCTAGATATGTGTGATGTTACTACCTATGTTACTTTCATTGTGGGTAGTCTTATAAGTTGGACACGGGTTTTTAGGTCTTAAGTTTGACTAGCGAAAAATGAAACATACGAAAGAAGTAAAAAAAATCCATGCCCAACTTATAGATCCAACTGGAAAGAGTATTATCATTTGATATAGGACCCCACTACAAATCCGATGTCAAATTTTTTAGCATGGCAAATCGAACGTTTTTCGTGACAAATAATATCTCCGAGGATGGCAAGTTTAGTTGGCGAGCATGGCAAACCCGCCTCAGTTTATTTATTTTTTGACAGAAAATTGCCGCACTTGCAAACCAAATTTGCCATTATGTGCCAATATAAATTGGCATGAAAAATGTCATATTTTTCATGCCTAAAATCTGTAGGATTTTTAGTGTTTCCATTAATATATGACACGGTCATGCATTTTTACTTGGTCATGAACCAAAATCCATTTGTCCGCCGAATGGTGCCAAACGGTGAATTGGCAAGAGATCTTATACATGCGCGTCTGTCGCCATCGGGAAATGGCACGCCCAGCGAGGCGCGTCCACCCGTTCCGTCCCGTTTGACTAGCTAGCTCGTCGGTCGTCACCTGACCAGCTGCATTATTCGGGTGTACTCTAGCTAGTACATCGATCTGCCTGGCTGGCTGGCTGGCTCCGTGTGCGCCCATTTGCCTGCCTCGCAGGTTTGTTTAAGCCGGCCGGCCCGCTGTAATCACGTCGCCATGCATGATTATGCTTTCAATATTGCCGCCTGAACAATGTGAACATGTCGGGCGGATGGGGTAGCTAGCTAGCCAGAGAAGTACAGTGCAGATGGCTCTGGATACTCAATCCACCAGAAAACAATCGACAATTTGTTCACTAACACATCTATATACAAGAAAACAATCAACGATATGTTTACTCACACATCTATGTACAAGAAAACAATCAACGATGTGCCATAACTAAAATAAGTGTACAACTTTTACTTCAAAGCGAACAATATTTACTTTTGAATTTACACAATATTTTTTTCAACGGAAATGCTATCTGACGACCCCGATCGCGCTCTCTCCCACAAAATTCGTTTGCATGAATTTTGGCGCAGGATCAGAGCCATGTCAGATTTTGAAAGTACTCCCTCTGTCCGAAAATACTTATCACCAAAATGAATAAAAGGGAATGTATCTAGACGTATTTTAGTTATAGATGCATCCCTTCATATCCATTTTGATGACAAGTATTTTCCCCTAGGGTTTCCCTAGGGTCCAACCCTTCCTTCGGGGGCACCGTTGAAGTACACCAAATCCCATGTAAATCACATTGTTCGAGAGCTGGTTCTCGTGTGGAGTCCGTCTTGGGGGAGGAAAAAGTGGCCTTCGGCGATTTGCATGGACAACATGAGCAGTCAGGGGGGTGCGCGGCGGTGCGGAGGAACCGGAAGCAAGGGAGTCTAGGGTTGAAGATCCATCTGCGGGAGCCGGGCTTGCCCCGGGGAGCGCGGCGGCGGAGGGCGATGATGACCGGAGGAAGATCGGGGGGAGACTGGGGATGATGAGAAGGAAGAGGAGGAAGCTGATTGGGACCAGTATGGTCCAAACCATGATCTGGAGGACGTATTTGAGAATCTCAAGCTGCAAGGAGAGGAGGAGGAAGATCTGGATTTGTCCGGGGAGTTTGAAGAGCTGATCAAGGATGTACGCTGGCTGACGCTCTTTAGGGTTCATACTCTAAGGCCGTTTAGTCATGCCTCTCTGTTGAACCCCATGAGGAACGTGTGGGCGTGTGCACAGGGGGTGACGTTTAACATCAAAGGCCCCAACTTGTTCTTGGCTCAATGCAATTGTTTGGGAGATTGGAAGCGGGTGATGGAAGGGGGACCTGTTGGGTTTCGTAGTAATTTCAAAAATTTTCCTACGCACACACAGGATCATGTGATGCATAGCAACGAGGGGAGAGTATTGTCTACGTACCCAACGCAGACCGACTGCGGAAGCGATGACACGACGTAGAGGAAGTAGTCGTACGTCTTCACGATCCAACCGATCAAGTACCGAAACTACGGCACCTCCGAGTTCGAGCACACGTTCAGCTCGATGACGATCCCCGGACTCCGATCCAGCAAAGTGTCGGGGAAGAGTTTCGTCAGCACGACGGCGTGGTGACGATCTTGATGAACTACAGCAGCAGGGCTTCGCCTAAACTCCGCTACAGTATTATCGAGGAATATGGTGGCAGGGGGCACCGCACACGGCTAAGGAATAGATCACGTGGATCAACTTGTGTCAACTTGTGTGTCTTTGGGGTGCCTCTACCTCAGTATATAAAGGAGCCAAGGGGGGAGGGGGCGCCGGCCAAGAGAGAGGCGCAGGAGGAGTCCTACTCCTACCGGGAGTAGGACTCCCCCCCCAATCCTATTCCAACTAGGATTCCCAAGGGGGAAAGAGGGAGAGGGGTGGCCGGCCACCTCTCCTAGTCCTAATAGGACTAGGGGAAGGGGGGAGGCACGCAGCCCCCTTGGGCTGCCCCTTTCTCCTTTCCACTAAGGCCCATGTAGGCCCATATGGCTCCCGGGGGG